AACTGCGCCCTGTGTAGGCGACTGAGACCACAGTCCCTGAGCTGAGGATTGTGATGTCGCAGCAATTCTGTTGTAAAACCCGTGGGTTGCAATAGGAGAGGTGCCCTGGGTGGTAATGAAGGAATACAACCCGTGAGTTGTGTTCTGCTGCTTTGGGGGAGGCAACGCAAAATATTCGGTGTACGGCCTGTGTTGTGAAATTGAAGCATTAACGGGATCCGAGATCAATGGATTGCGATGTCGTTCGGAGTCAGTAACAACGGCCTGTTCGCTAAGTCGTAGTTGATTAGTGTAGAGTGGGGTAGGGATCCGTGGAGAAGTGACTTCTCTAGATAAGCGCCCAGCTGTCCGACGTGACTGCTGGCTGCTGAACTCTCCCAAAGGCTCATGTCATGTCTCGATTGCGAATATCGTTTCGCTCTCGCTTTGCTCTGTTTGATCTGCGTTTAGAAGCCAATTCACTAGCTTCGTTGGTTTCGATGATCCTTTAGAGGCGTGTTCCGCAAATTTACGTTTATTTATAGTTGATGAGAATGAAGTCTGGGTGTTTTTCTGCTTGGAAGGGGTTAGGATTAGTCTGTTTTGTGATAATAAGGCATCTTGTTGGCGAGGTAAAGTGTGAGAAGGCTTGGTTGGCGGTATTTCGGGCGCCGAACCACGTAGAAGATTAGCAATTTGATTTGAATCGTACACAGTTTGGCCGATTAAGATGTTGTTTCCTCGGATTTTTGGTGCAAATCCTTTCTCCCTCAATTCAGGGAAAAACTGTAGAAGTATCTTTCTCTGTTCCCTCTCCTCCCGTGTGAGATCATCTCCTATTGCTAAACCAAGGTTCCGCAGCTCCTTTGTGAAACGAAACATTTCATTTCATTTGTCTTGAAGCGAATTGTATGAAAACAGGCCGATTACCGATGACTTTGCCTCGCCTGGCTACCGAAATCACTACATCATTAGTCACTTCACTGTTTACACTGTGTAGGGCTTTTATAACGTTGGTTCGCAAGGACGCATTTATTTCCTCCACATCGGGTACTTTGAATAGCATCAGATTACTCGCACGATCTCTGTTTTTAAGATTATCAATTTCTGTTTGTAGATTCACGATTTGGGATTTCATGGCGTGTATGTCCTCGCATATTGGTTTAATTGTAGTAGTTTTAGCTCTCACGGAATCCATTTCACTATCAATTCTCTGCACGTGGCCTAAAATTTGATCGATTTTTTCTTCCATGGTCAGGTTCACTGGAAGTTCAGCAACCGAAGAAAGGTGTCCCGTCGCCATCTCGTCTCAATCCCGTTGAACTCACTTTTCACGAAAAGAGAAATAAATAATACGACATTTCACACTTTCGACTCAAAATTCGGTATATATTTTCTCTGATATGAGGCGGAATCAAAACACGTCCGTTCGCTCGAAAGGTCAAAGTCGAACTCTGCTACATAGCTGGGTAAGTTTAAACATAAATGTTGTTTGGGATCTCCAACAAGTATAGCAGCTCCTGCAGAAAAAGACGACCGGTAAATTTCATATCTAGAGGTGGTCTCTTAAACCCTAACGACGATTTGCGTAAAACTGCTGAAGTACTTGAATCCGAGTTCGGTATCATGCATGGTACCTCTTTGTCTAAAGAAAATAATATTTTCAAAAGATTAGCCGACAGAACGATATCCAAATTGGGAAACGATTGTAGTATACCTTACGAAGTTATTTATTGTTTAAGTCGCACGCGGACCTACATTAGGTTACGAGATCTTAATAAAAAAATTAGTTTTCAGAACTATAAAAAAAACTAGAAAAAAATATGTCAAAATTTACCAATTGTAAAGTTTAAATTCAATAAATCTTTATCAAATCTCACTTATTCTTTTTTATGATAGATAACTATAATCTTACCCTGAAAAAGCCTTGTAAGCCTAAGGCAAAAGGTAGATGTGTTGATTATAAAATTTAATAAAAAAACCTTCACTCTAGAATTGCTTTTATCTTCATTGTTTAATAACATTAACCTTTCGGACGTCTGGTGGGGTCTGACAAGCCCAGATATATACGAAACGGGTTGTAATTCTTCAGCCAATGAGCAATCGGTCTTAATATTCTAGGTAGCTGCTCCAATCGATTCGTTCTTACTATGGTTATTTGTGCTCAAGCAAACGCAGTGTATAAGTATTCTAAATAAACAATTGGGCATGCTAGACCCCACCAGACTCAATACCCAACTTATTATTTGGTAAGAAATCACACAGGTTTACCTGTTATAACTAAAATAAACATTGATAGGGTCTTCTTAAAACTATTTCTTAGAAATTTTTTATGTCGAAAATGGAAAGTTTTGAACAAGAACAAGCAAGGCTTCAAGGTTTATGGGAAGAAGTTCAGATAGATGATGAAAATGAATTTCAAAGTAGTGATGAAGGAGAAATGGATAATGTAACTGTAAGTGACCATAATAGTGACACAGATCAGGATATTACTGATGAAGAAACTGATGAGTCTATCAATAACATCGGACTATTTTATTTGGGTAAAGATAAGATAACGAAATGGGATAAGCACCCACCTAGACCAAATATTAGAAGAGGGCCACAAGATATCATTAGAATGCAGTTGCCGGTAGTAAGGGGCTCATGCAGGGATAGCAAAACACCTATGGAATGTTGGAAACATTTTTTCACTGACAACATTATATCAGAAATCATAACTCACACGAACCAAAGAATTCGACAGAAGGCAGTTGGTTATGGAAAACGAGAGCAATATAAAGTAAACGAGATTGACGAAACGGAATTGCTTGCTGTATTTGGGCTTTTATATCTAGGAGGTGCCTATAGGTCTGGTCGTCAAAATTTGAAAGATTTGTGGGCCATTGACGACACTGGAATACCTATATTTAGAAAAACTATGTCTCTCCAACGATTTACTTTTATTTTGTGTTGTTTGCGTTTTGACAATCATAATACTAGAAATGATAGATTGCAAACAGACAAACTTGTACCAATTAGAACAGTTTTTGACACATTTGTCCACAACTGTAAGCATACATACTCTCCTAGTGAATATCTTACTATTGATGAACAACTGCAGGCTTTTCGCGGTAATTGCCCATTTTGTCAATATATTCCCAGCAAGCCTGCAAAATATGGGATTAAAATATTTACCTTGACTGACGCTAGGACTTTTTATACAGTAAATATGGAAGTCTATGTAGGCGTTCAACCCGAGGGGCCATTTAGGAAGAGTAACAAACCCGAAGATATAGTTCTTAGGATGATAGAACCAGTATCAAAAAGTGGTCGTAATGTCACTTTTGATAACTGGTTTACCAGCTACAGTCTAATGCAACGATTGCTGCGAGAACATGGCCTAACATCTGTGGGTACTGTTCGTAAAAATAAAAAGGAACTGCCACCATGCCTTGTGTCTACGGCAGGGAGACCATTACCTTCGAGTATGTTTGCATTTCGAAAAGAAATCACTGTGGTGTCCTATACAGCAAAAAAGAACAAAAACGTGTTAGTATGGTCTACCTTTCATCACAACGATAATATTGATGGTAAGACCGGAGATAAACAGAAGCCTGACATTATCAGCTTTTATAATTTAACCAAAGGAGGAGTTGATACACTCGACAAACTTTCAGCTACTTACAATGTTTCACGGAATTCCCGTCGGTGGCCGCTTACAGTTTTTTACTCAATACTTAACGTTGCAGGTATAAATTCCGAAATTGTGTACAGAAGTAATACCAACAATTATATCACAACCAGGCGACAGTTTATGAAAAATCTAGGAATACAATTGACTACTAAACATCAGGAACATCGGCTACAAAATCCTAGGCTTCCTAGAAGTCTCCAATCACAACAACAACAAGATACTTCATCCAGAAATGGAAGAGAAGCGCCAAAAAGAAGACGTTGTGAATTCTGTCCGCGTACTTCGGACAGAAAGTCACAATATTGTTGTGTAAAATGTGAAAAAACTGTTTGCATATCTCATGCTAGTTTTTTTTGTTCTGACTGTTGTAATAATACCAAATAAATCAATTTGACGCTTAAGTAATTAAGGTTTGATTATTATAAGAATTACTGTTATTTTTAATTTTAGATGTATAATAAACGTTGTTCCTCAGGTTTAAATAGTTTAATTTACTTAAAGTAGTAGAACTACTTCTACTTTTGACCAGAGTCCGTTGGGCCTGTCAGACCCCACGAGACTACTCTTGTCCGGTTAAATAACCAGACGTCCGAAAGGTTAAAATCCACCAAACAATTAACAAAATATAATGTATACCAAATATTTGCATGATCCGTATTTATTAACAAACATTAAATACGGGCCAACTCAACATGCATTGTACGTACGCAATCTTTAGCCTTTGCTTCGCAGTAACGTCAGATGTCGGCAGAGCCTAAGCCTAGCGATGCGCATTATATACCGGTGTAAGTGTATCGTGGATCTCATCAACGTTATATATATTGTTAGGCGTATATTTGTACTTGTCCATAGCTTCTTCTAACAATGTAAAAAATCTGTTGACACTTTGTTTGTTAAAGCCCTTCAGTCTTGCAAAGGACGTGCCAGTGAGTTGGCGAAAAGAAAGATTTGGATGGCGTTTTAAAAACAATCAAAACCAAGTTTTACTCGAGTCAACTTATTTTTTTGGGCCAATTGAAATGCCACTGACATTATATCTCGTCGAGTCAATCCAAACCCTGCTTCCTCCATCCGAAGAACATATTCAGCTAAACCATTTTCTAACTCAGTGGGAAGTGTTGCTTTTCTCCCATGTTTCATATTTGTGACTTCCAGCAAAGGCGTATTTTGTTTTGGCATAAACGAATGAGTGTGGTTTTCGGCATACCATAGGTTTTTGACGCTTTCAAATATCCCATTCTTTTTTCTTTAATAGCTAATATTGCCACGGTCATGGAGTCTTTGACCCATTGTTGTCTTTTGCCTTGTTGATGCCATATTCTATTGTAGGGATATAACAGTANACCTAAGTAATGGATTTTAGTCAATTTTTATTTGACGTTTCGGCTCCTTGGTTTTGGGCCATCTTCAGAACTACAATAAATAAAAATAACATTTACATTGTTGAGTGAAAATGAAACAGAGTTTTTGTGGAAATTATAACTGACAATTTGTATGTTCTAATTACAATGTATTTTCTTTCTTTGACAGGGTGTGTTTTTGCAAAAGTATAAAATTCGTCGTTCGACTGTTGAACTTCGCATTTCGGGCGGAGATAATGCTCCGCCCACCGCGGCCCGCAAGCGACAGCCCCGAACGAACGTGACAGAGCTCGACATGTTAGCAAAGTAAGTCTCTTTTCAGAAATTTCGTTTCAAAATATACGTCTCCTGCTGAAATATCACTTGGTGGTCGATAGGTTTAAATCAGAAAGGTTGATCTATTGACATACAAATTTTTCAGAGTTAAGTGGGTATACAGGGTAGAAACTATCGTAGTACTTCTAATATCGTTCCTAAAACATAGGCTCATACTGTCAAAGATTAGGGTGCAAAATATGTTATTGCTGTAGAAGGATTTTGGAAATGTCTCGAGTACTTTACAGTGTTGGTTGTGTAACTAATAAATTATAAACGTTCAACGTGTGTCTGTGTATGTTTTAGTATAATGTGGTGGTAAGAAATTGTAACGTGATGCAGACAGTTCGATTTTGAAATTTGTGTGAGTAAGAGGTAAATTGTGAAAATGAGTCTTTGACAAGTTAGACAACTTTCTACATCTTCTGAAGATGAGAGTTTTAATCAATCGGTTTTATGCCAATTCATAGTATTGAATAATCTACTATATAAGTACGAGCGAACAATTAAGACAGTTAACCAAAATAGTAAGTCAATTAACCCTTTAACCGCGGGCGACGCGGAAATCGCGTTATCTGCATCTTGTTACATTTGGCGGGCCACGCTATTAGCGCGTCGCATCTATTTTTGAAGAGTTTGTACGTCGGGAAACGCTTATTCCACGTCATATATGATTATTGGTGGGGCATGAAATAAGTGAAGGTATTGTAGTAAAAATTTAGACGAATTACAACAGACAGGCTGGACAATTGTATCAGTAGTGCATGTGCAAGTTTCTGCATGTTCAGAAGAGCGCAATGTTTTATCCACAATTATTCTTCAATATTATTTGAACTATATTTTAAGAAAATTATGAATATGTCGAAACATGCAATTTGTTATGATAGTGAAAGTGGTGAGGATGAACTCCTGTTGCAATCTTGCAGTAAAAATATTGAAAAAACATATAGTGATTCCGAAACGAATGATCAAAGCGTTAATTTAGCATCGAGTGATTGTAATAGTTCGGATGAATAATATAATTAATAATTATTTTGAGTGATAGCAGTGAGGAATCTGATGCAGAAGAGGAAGGCTTTTCAAGTGCGCGCATTTGGAATGAAATTGATCAAAATATTATTCCTCCTGCTCCGTCACATTTTCTTTTTACATCAACACCTGGAGTAAACACAAACCTAAACGAAAATGCAAAACCACTTGCCTATTTCGAAATATTCATAGATGATGAGCTAATTGGTATTTTGGTAAGTGAAACAAATAAATACGCCAACCAGGAAACAGCGCAACAAACAACATCCAAAAATTCTAAATCAAAGAAGTGGGTGAATGTAGATACTGCAGAAGTGCGAGTATTTATAGGCGTATTGTTATTACAAAGTATAGTTCATTTACCTGAACAAGAATAGTACTGGTCAAAAAGAGAATCAATTCGTGTTCCTATTTTTGCAAAAGTTATGTCCCGAGACAGATTTAGACTTATTATGAAATACTGGCATTTTTCTGATAATTCGACTTTCAACCCAGAATCACATCCCTGTCCAAAATTACGTAAATTATATGAAGTTGTAGAATACTTGCGTTTGAAATTCATGGCAGTATTGGTTCCCAAACAAAATATTACTGTGGACGAAAGTTTGATGTTGTTCAAGGGAAGACTTGGCTGGAAGCAATACATTCCTATGAAAAGATCTCGATTTTGTATAAAGCCATACGTTATATGTGAATCGGAATCAGGTTATATTTGGAATTTTCTATTGTATGTTGGTAAAAATACGTTGTATACGCAAAAATATGAAAATTACCCTGTATCAACCAAAACTGTTTTATATCTAATGGATTCATTACTAGACAAAGGGTATTGTGTTACTGTTCATAATTTTTACACGTCTCCTCAACTTTCCGATTTTCTTCTAACACATAAGACAGATATTTACGGTACACTCAGATCAAACAGGAAAGATTTGCCAACAGGTTTTGCAAGTATAAAATTAAAAAAAGGGGAAATAAAAGCTTATCAAAGAGGAAAAGTGACCGTGTTGAAGTGGCAAGATAAAAAAACAGAAAAACAGTTTGTGCTTTGAGTGCAGTGCATAACTCATCATCGTGCACTCTCAAACTTACAAACGGTCAAGACGTGGTAAAGCCTCAGCTAATAATTGATTACAATCATACCATGGGGAGCGTTGATCGAGCTGACCAAGAACTATGAGACCACCAGAAAACAGCAAAAAAAAATATTATAAGAAAGTAGTTCGTCATCTCCTCGACAAAGCATTGTTCAATACATTCGTAATATACCAGAAAAATAGTAAAAACATTAAAAAATCATTTTTGAACTTCAGGCTTTGAAGTTATTGAAGATATTTTTGAAAAATATTCCTCCGAATCCAATCAAGAAGGAACCTCGAAGAAGGTGTGTAGTGTGCTGCACAAGAAAAGGTAAAGATGGTAAAAAAATAAGAAAAGAAACCAGAACTTGGTGCGAACAATGCAACGTAGGACTATGTATGGAACCGTGCTTCAAAATTTATCATACTCAAACAATTTTTTAGAAATTAACGCGATAATCACGTTTCCCGCATATTCTGTAGATTATCTTAATAAATTTTTTGCTTTTTTCTTCATATTTATCTTTTATTTTTCATATATCCCCTATGATTTTTTTTTCTAATGTAATAAATACATAAAATGTTCCCGCGGTTTTTGAGAAAAAAATGAAAAAAGTTCCCATGGTTAACTGACCATGTATCGAGCACATCATCATCTGCATCGATCAATCCAAGGGACTGAGAGACAAGTAGTTTATTTAGAGAAGATGTAATACCTGTGTTTGATTCGAAATATACGAGCCACTCCACTGAACGATGGATCCAAAAAGTGGATGAACTACAGGAAATCTTTAAATTGGACCGACCGTGGGACAATAATGCAGGTAATTTCCAAATTGTCTGGCTTGGCTTTGCAATTGTATGAATCGTTGTCTTCCTTAAATCATTTTTAGGAAAAATGGAAAGGAATTCTACTGAGAGGATTTGCTACTCGTGAAGATTACAGTGTCGCGTTATGGCAGATGATGAATAGAAATAAATTACCGAACGAAACGTATTTGAAATACTATTATGAGAAATTATCATTACTAATAAAAACTGAAAATAACGGATGAAAAAGCTGTGTCATGTTTAATTGGTGGTTTAAATGGTAGTGTAGTGGAAACTACTGTCAGAGCAGAGGATTACCAAATTTACTCAGTCTACTTAAATCTGTAAGAACAGGAAAATAATCATCAAATGGACATACAAAGGTTGATAAGTTTACTAAGTCATCTTTTAAAAATAAAAACGAATTCCGTTGTTCCGTGTGTAAGAAAATGGGACATGTTGCAAAACATTGCCGTAGGAATAATAATAATAATAATAGTAGTTGCTTTATATGCCATAAAAGTGACCTCAGAGCTTTTCAATGTCCTGAAAAGAAGACTGGAAATAAAATTGGTGCATATGGTAAAAAGATGTTATAGCTAAAAGAAGAACCTGTGAATGCTATATACTACAAAGACGCGTGGATTAATGGAAGTCATATGAAAAGTTACGGAGATTAAGGAAGTGCGTGTAACATAATTCGGAAGGACATTGTAAGTGCTCTGAAATTTAAAGTTATTCTAAAAATATTATTACTCTGAAAGGTTACGGGAATGAATTACTTCAAACACTAGGGACAGTGAATTTCACATTAAAAATTGACCAAGTAGGATAAGAAACTTTTGCACATGTGATAAGTGAGCATCAACAGGCGATTCCATTAATAATAGGACAAACTTTTACGGAAAAGCCGGACATTTTAATTGTTAAAAATAAAGATAGTTGTATAGACAGGTGCTGCGAAATCTACTGAAGTACAAATACAGTTAGAGTATGATAAACCGTTTATGTATAGGCCGAAATGAATGAGTGCCGTGGAGAAAGAAAATGTGAACGATATTGTAAGTGACCTATTGCAGTGGAATATAATTCGGGATTCGCAATCTAACTATGCGTCACCTGTGTTGTTAGTTCGTAATAAAAATTGTGAATACCGCATGTGCGTGGAGTTTCGTAAACTTAATTTCATGACAGTGAAAGAGGGTTATCCACTACCCACGATTGATGACTAAATAGACATGCTACAGGGTGCTAAATATTTTATGATGCTGGACTTGGCATCACGTTACCATCAAATTCCCGTTGCAGAATCTTCAAACATCTCACTTCACCGACAGGTCAGTACGAGTATAATGGTCTTCCGTTTGGGTTTTGTAATGCGCCCAGTGTAATGAATAAACTTTTCTTACCACTTCGAGGTATTTCCGGAGTGTATTTAGATTAGATTATTATAATCTCCAAAACGGTAGGGTATATACAGTAGGTAGTTCCAAAGGGAATCAGGTATAGAATAGTTCAAAAAGTTCACGACGAAATGGGGTATTTTGAAGTAGAAAAGACTTTAGATCCTTTGTGTAATACATACTGGTTCCTTCGAATGCGAAATTAAATTGAACGATACATTTTCTATTGTATTCCCAGTTTATATTAAAAATCCATTTCTGGGAAGAAACCCGAGATGTTACATCCAATGAAAAAGTTGCCATCCCGTTTCACACTATTCACGCAGATCATTTAGAATAGAATAGACTCAATAGAAATTACCCTCTTCAGCAACAATTGTTACATTATACGCCTAAAAACAATAGAAACCTTAAAGATGATGCTTTGAATATACCCGGAAAAAGAAAAAGCATTGACGATTCAGGGAGGTCTGTTCGTCTT